TGTTCGTTCGTCATTATTTTTAATAAAACAGTTTCATAAGAACTTTAATTTTCTTAATTTATTTCTTCCTTTATGTTTAAAGGGGATCTAATTGACCTGAAATCACAGAAAATATGGGAGTAAATAAGTTCATTTAAAAGTCTCCTTTAAAGTAATTTTAATTGCATTTTGTACTTCTGATTTTCCATGCATTCAAGAGAGACTAGATGGCAGTAAAAGCATTACTTAAGAATAGTTCTACATTGATTTGGTTTGCATGGTTCTCAAATTTCACACACCAGTTGAGCAATGTTGAGGATACTTGAATCTAACTGTGCAATGTCAGAAGGTACAGAAACTTTTATTAGATTCAGCATCCACTAAATTCAGGGGGGAAATAAATCTGAGGTTGCACACTTAATGTTTCTCGTGCTTTTCTTTTTCTGTTATGGTGAGCTGTTGAGTTTTGATTTTTTTTAATGAATGGAGTTGAAATGAAATATTACATGAAGTCATCAGTGAGGTGTACATGGTCGGGAATTATTTCCCCCCTGGGGAGACTTGAATCTTCTTGCCTGTATGCACACTAACTTATTTTAATATTTTGATTACTTTCTGTCTTCAACTTGGATGACTTTTACCAAGATGTCAACTTTAACATCTCCTTCGTGCTCCGCTATTTGAGGCTTGAGTCTTTTGAGTGTGTTCTTCACAATCTGGAAAAAGAGAAAAAGGTATTGGGTTTGTACTTCAGGTGGCCAACCATATACTGTTCTATTTTCTGACAACCAAAAGTTGGTGACAACTTACTGACGACATAGATATTCATAAAATATTGTAACGTATGGTTCAAACATTGGGCTCATGGGATACTGGACTGCTCACCTTCTGAATAAGCGCTGGACTCGGGTCGCCCGGGTGGGCGCCCTCCGGAACCTTCTTTAGAGCAGATCGGACGAGGGTCGGCTCGTGGCCCTCCTTGGCTGATCCGTCGTGTTCCACCTGGAAGTTATTTAAAGAGTAAGTCATCTGGCCAGTTCGACCCAGGTAGCTAACTTCATAAGGTGTCATCTTTCCCGCGCATTTCATGCAGTACTGCATCTGGAACGCTTCATTAATCGCCAGAGAGCGCATCGAGTTTTCCTAGTTTACCTGGACCTGAGGAAGGCCCTGCTGGGCGGACGCAGATTCGAGCCTCCTGCCGTGTCCCCGTGAGCCCGTCTGCTGAACCTGGAACGACTCCTCGGATACCGTCCTCGACTTCGCTGCCTGGGGACGCCGTCGGCGTACGGGCGGAGAGGCCGTTGTCTGAACAGTGTTGTCCAGGTCCTGGCTCACGTCCACTTCCTCGACGGCGACGGGCCTTGGTCTCGGGCGGGCACGCCGACGAAGGGGACGTCGCTGAGGTTCGTCCGCGCTAGGCTGGCTAGCGGGAGTGACTGTGTTATCGTGCACAGTGATGTCCTGTGAGTCCTGCGACGCTACCTGTACATCGTCCTGTTGCTGCTGGGCAGGCCTGGGGCGTGGCCGCCGTCGCACAGCTGGCCTCTGCTCCTGCTGGTCCTGCTCCTGTTGGGTCTGAACCTGGACTTCGTCGGCCGGGGTGGGCCTCGGTCGTGGCCGGCGTCGCTGCGGCTGTTGTCGGCGTGGCTGGACAGGCTCGACGGGCTGCTGCGCGTCGGCCTCCTCGGGGACGGGGTTCGTCGCGGCCACTGGGCGGCGGCGAAGTGGCTGGCGGCGCTGGAAGGAGGAAAGCGACGTAGAGGGAGCAGTTCTTTAGTCCGGCTGACTGACGAGTCTGGCCCCTGGGAGGTAGGCCGGTCTGTTAAACACGGGTGCATCACGGGCTTGCCTACCCACCAGGCGTTCTGTCGGTCATCGCCGTTATTTCGTCACCCAATACCGGACTTTTTTTCTCGAAAAGAAGGACCTTTACCTGTCCCTCCGTGTGTCCCTCTCTCCCCATTTCACTAGATTGTATGAAACGGAGGTCGTGTTAACTCAATATATCGTCATCAAACAGCAGCAGCAAGAGCGCATCCCGCGTGCGCGCTGGCGAGAAGTAAATCTCAGGCGGAGGATTGCTGCCGTCTAATTGTTCTCGCCGTGCAACGCCCCCCTTCTTGATTTGTTTTCCGTGTTGTCGTCAAGTCCCGTTCTCAATCCTCACCTGATCCTCACTGGCTCAGCATACAGAGGACACTTAAAAGTCGCCCCCAGAAAGCCCTCTGAGACACCCGTTTCTCTCCTTTTTTCTTTTTTTGGAATCGAAGTTACCCAACGACTGATATCAATTTTCTTGAATTGGACGTACCTGTATCGGTTCAACGCTTCCGTCAACTTGGACCCGGTGGCTCTCGCGGTGGGCCCCCCTGTACGACACTCCTGGGCCGGTTGGGGAGGCTGGTGCGGCAGCATCGACATCCTCGACAGGTTGCTGTTCTTCGGGCTGATAGACAGCTTGCGGGCGTGGGCGGGGACGAGGTCTGGGTTCCACCTGTCTTTGATCCTGGACGAATTCCGGCTGAGGCGACGGAGAGAGGTCCTGTTCGTCGGGGACCTGGGGTGCCCGGTACTGGTTGAGGCGCTTGCGAGGCTTGACCCTGAGCACGTCTCCGGATCCGCCCGCGTCCGACGCGAAAGTTCTCTTGGGGAACTTGCTGTGGTAGCCTGGCGGGAGATCAGCATCCCCTTCGATGGCTGGGACGGAGTTATCTATTCCACGCTCTTCCGTGGACGCCGTCGGCACGTCCTCCAGGGCGACCTGGTCGATGGCCGGAACGCTCAGGACGTCGTTGTTCGTCAGGTTCTCGTCGTCGCCGTCCTCGGCGGGCAGGTGTGTCGGGTACCTCCTTACGGTTTCGTACGAGTCCACTACGGCATCGGCTTTGGCGTCGTGCTCGGCGAACGCAGGGTGGTTGACGGGATAGTTCTCCTCCACCACCACGACCTTCTTGGGGCGAGCGGCAGGACGGCGCGCAGGGCGACGCGCGGGGATCTCAGCGTCCTGGAACACACCATTAGCAGAAGGAATAAGCGGATGTACGAAGTAAGAGACAGAAAATTGAGAGACTACGACGGCGCTTACGCGAGGAACATTTAGTCCACTACTAAACCCGTCAGGAGCCCCTGGGAGGTAGGGCGGCCTGTTAAACAAAGGTGCAATGCGGGCCTGCCTACCCGCCAGGCGCTCGGTCGGCCGGGTCAACACAACACAATCTACTGCCGCCTGAGCGGCGACAACGGCGCGCCAACCGGCGCGAGAAGAAGCAAATCACAAAAAAAAAGAGCACCACTGGCGTGCTTCGCAACGACGAGCATTTCTGAAAAGAACCAATAGCACATGTTCCGCCGACGAACCGGTCCTCTAAGGGTGCATCGTTATTGCAGTCCGCTCTTGCACCCTCGGGTCGCGCTGGGTTTATGTATGTCTTTCTTTTTTTTCTCTAAAGCTTCGGGGGGCTCGGCGACAGTAAAAGAGAGGATCGGCCCATAATAACGACCTTGTTCCTCGCCGCTGTTTCGCCATGTCGACCGGCGCGGCCTGCGGCCCGGCCCATGTGCGTCCAGCGGCTGGACTCGGGCGCAGTATGGCGTATTGGTCCGGTTCTGGCGGGCCCGTCTGCAGCAGGCGGCCGCTGCTGCCGCCGCTGCTGCCGCCGCTGCTGCCGCCGCCGCTGCAGCTGCGCGGCCGGGGCCGCTGCTCCCATTGTAATGACAGGGCACGTATGACCACTTGCTGACCGCCAGGAGGCCCGGCCGGGCCCGGCAAGCGCCTGCCTTTTTTGCCTCGCCTGTCCCACGGTGGGTCGGCGCACAGCTCGGTAAGGCGAACTGTTTCAGGGGCGCGCTGCACCGTCATTGCGTGCTACAGCGTCATGGGGGCCGTGGGTCCCCCCCGCGGGGCACTGCCACCGAGGACCTCCGCGCCGACGACGCCCGGAAGAGTCTGCCAGCACCACAACAACTGGCCCGGGGGGCCCCGGCGGCCGCTCCTTCACCGGTCACCGAAATAAACTAGGAGCTGCGCGGACATTTATCCGCGGTGATGTCACTCTGCCTGACCGGGCCGCGGGCCGCGGGCCGCCTGCCGGTCCACCTGCCGAGCTGGTTGCAATGAGTCGAGTCGACCCCCCGCGGCACGCCAAGGGCGCCGGGCCGCACGCGCGCGCGCACGCACGCACGCACGCACGCACGCACGCACGCACGCACGCACGCACGCGCGCATCTTCGGATGGAGGAAACCCGTACGCCCGTACGCACCTGTGGTTCGGCGGCCACTTCGTTGACGACGGCGTCCTCGTGCAGCGAGAGGCGGCGCTGGCCGCGCGCCCTGCGGGCCGGGGTGCTGGACGTCGCGTCGTGACCCTGCTCGTCGGGGAGGACGGCGTCGAAGCGCCGCTGGCCGGGCGGCAGCTGCGGCGTGTCATCCGTCACGGCCACCTGGTCGTGGTGCACGGTGCGGGAGCGCTTGCGGACCTGCGGGAGGGGTGGAGGCTGTGAGTCACGGCGAGTAGAGATAGTGTGACACTGATGTGACGGCGCGCGGGGCTCACCGAGTACGGCCGGCGGACGCCCTCGGGGAGGTTGGGGATGTGTGCGAGGCCGTCGTCGCAGGGCGGCGCGGGCTGGGCGGCGTCGGCATCGGCGGCCGGCTGCGGGGCGGCCAGGGCGGCCGCGAGCACCAGCACCAGCAGCACCTGTGGGGAGGAGAAGCAGCACTCGATGAACGATCCGAATCACAATCGTCACCTCACGGCCACCACTTGGTCTTTCCCGGTGCGAAATTCCCCTTATATACGTCCACTAGAGTTAAGCAACTACCTAATTACACCGGCAACGAAAGTGGCCATGGGAGCAGCAGCCGATCCTTTCTGCGCGCGTGCATACTTCACGAGTGAATCACAGCATTGAACTCGGGCGACGCGGATTCCCCCCTCCCCCGTTCGGCCGCCTCCCGTGCTGCGTGCCATGACTACTACTAGGAGGCCCGCGCGAGTGGTTCGGCTCCCAGCAGCAGCAGTGACCCAGTGGCATACAGCGCCGCGCCGAGCCACGCCGCGCCGCCTAAATGACGCATAAGTGAGACGTTAGACGTGGACACATGGCGGCGCATGGCGGGCCCGGGGTCTGGGTCGGAGGAGTCCGCGCCGAGGGAGAGCCAGCCAGGGTGACGCAAGGCGCGAGAGCGGCGATTACTGGCCGGCCCGATCATCGCGGATGGGAGAGGGATCGACCCGTGGACCCAGCGGCGGCGGTGGCGGCGGCGTTGAGCTGGAGTCTCGCCGAAAGGGCGCGGGATCGGATCCCACACACGCTGCTGATTCTGATTCACACGAAGAGATGGGATGGTCCACCACTACACCGGGACGCGCGACATCCTCGTCGTGCTCGCCTCCTCTTGTGCGAGCGGCCCACGGATCCCCTCCCCCCCCTCTTCCCCTCCCGTGGCTGCCCTGCGCCCGCCCCCGCCCC